TGATCGGCACGAGTATCATGTAAAAAACCTATAAAACATCACAAAAGACCTATGAGATGGACCTATGAGATGTCAACTTGCAGACCAGGTAGTTTTTAGGGCGCAAACAGTCATTTCACGTTTGCTCACTAGGATCGTTGTGAACGTCCATCTACGGCGGAACCATTCAACTAAACTACACGCATTACTGGTTGCATATGTTTTGTGAGACTGAGTGGTCTGTGTCCGTAGTTTTTATCTCTGAGAAGAAAGTTGGTTGAATAGCAAGATCGCATCTGGAGGATTATGTGTATTGATCTGCATGTGTATAAAATCAGTGATATTTGCTGGGTGAGAAAATCATTACTGAATATGCTGCCCATGATGGCTGTACCCGACGGGTTATTTTTATGTTGTGCTTTCTGAAGAGAGGTTATGTTCAAAGTTATAAATTACAAAAAACTGAGGGGAATCACGGGAAATCGTCACCGCGCCCGCATTGTGTGTAATTACCGTTACCACGTATATGGCTCGTAATTCGACAGTGTACAGTGAATATAATTATGTCTTATCTGTCTCATTTTTGAAATTCAGCAAATTTGTATATGTAATTTCCAGAATGGATAAGAAAAAATGGATGCGCAACTAATTTCTAGCTTTGAATCTCGATTAAGTGTATTTGAGACAAGAACCCAATGTAATTATGATCAACACATACATCTTACAGATTAGACCTCCAGTAATGCCATCTTAGAAGCAGATTTTACATCACATCAGAGCCAAAGATTGATAACAAGCCTCATGACGTGTAGCAACACGTACAACTAAGTGCTAAGTTAACATCTTGTAGAAAAACCTACATAATATCAAAAAAACAGCATAATGTTACTTTTAAAGATACGTGATACCCGTGCGGGACCGTTTTTTAGCTTGAAAACGCTCTTCAAAATGAAGCAAATCATGTACAACAAAAGCTTTAAGCGTTTGGTTTAGGGCATTGACGTTACTCTGCGAAAGACGCAAGGTTATCATTCTTTAATTTTTGCACAAAATAATAACAATTTAGACTTCTGAGAGGTGACAGCCATATTGTGATCAGACGAATGTTGGCTTAAATTATTAACATCATTTGGTAAAGCTTCTACATTATTTTCGACATTCTGGGGATTAAAATAAAATAACAACTGAAGACCCAAGTAGATAAAGGTGTCATGTAACATATTTTTTTCAATTGCTTTTTGCATTTAACTAACCTTAGTGAGTGATTCTTTCATTATGTGATTACTTTGTTGCAAAAACAAGATAATAACAATCTAATTAAACTAAATATTTGATATGTCAATGAAGTAGAAAGTACGAATAAAAAATGTAAATTCTCCATAGAATGATTTTGTTACATGGCACCTTTATCCACTTGTGCCTTCAATTGCGTATCGTCTGTGAAGGGTTGGATTTTTGTTCAAGTGAAAAGTATATATCAGAAATAATAACGGTCCTAACTCAGAGCCTTGAGGCACGCTTGAGGGAATTCCAGTCACATGAGAAAACTTTTGATCGATGCAAACACATCGAGTCTTTTGGCCAAGATAACTTCTAAAAAATAAAAGATCTAATCTATCAACTCCTATGAAATTTAATTTAGATAGCAAAACGTATATTATCTTGTAAATCGAAAAGGATTGTACTACAATTTTGTCTAAAAAAAAAATTGGATATCAGGAATTGAGCATTTTTTTTCAAGATAAGTGGTTAGTTACAATTTTACCAGTTTCTCCAGTATTTTAGACAAATTTGGTAGTAAACTGGTAGGTCTTAGGTCTTCGAATTCAGCGGGTTTAATCTTTTTGGGGAATGATACAATCAAAGCTTTTTTCCATTATGATGGAAGGTACCCCTGTTTTGAAAATCATTAATAATGTCTACCGGTATGCATAATCGGATCATTGACACAGATAAGCCGTCAGTTCCCTGACTTTAGTGACTTTATTGCTTGTAATACGGCACTCGAACTGAATTTTGCTCAATGAAAAAGAGAGTCCTGGATATAACTTATTCTTGGACTAATATTCGGTAACTTGCAGACTAACAGATTGATTACACAGGCATGAAATAATCATTAATATTGATCGGATCAACGAAATATTTGGTAGACTTTGTTTATTACGGAAACTTATATCTAGCCGTCTAAGGCAGTCCCACTTTTTTCTTAATCATTTTGATTTTCTTATCATTTTTAAAGCCCGATTCCTTATCTACTTGAAATTTTCATATGTTTCGGTGGTTTTTCGGCTTTGTATGAAGTATGAGCGGTATTTTTCTCTTTGAGAATAACCCGTAGTTCGTCACTTGATGGTTAGTTATAGTCTTAAATAGTGCGCGTTTATTAAAGATTTTCAAAATTGGGTTTGTGAGGTGATTAACCTTCTCTTCAATACTTGATCGAATGCATAATTAATCTATTGGGGACATAGAAAGATAAAAAAACGCATTTCCACTGAAATTTCTTGAAATCCCTTATTGTAATAGATTTTTGTTTTCTTTTATCTGACGGAATATCAAAATGAAAATAAACAAGTTTATGATCTGAGGTATAAGTATCTATGACCGAACAGTGGCTTCAGGCTTGTTTATAAAAATCGGATCGATCAACGTACCTGTAGGCGTAGCTTCTTTCACTATTTGTGTAAGAGATTATTTGGGCTTAGAGAATAAACTAACGCATATTCTCAGCCTTCATCATAATTGCAACTGGTGTAACATGTTGGCAAAGTGACAGATTCCCGCGACCTTCCGCGCTCACGTTGCCAGGCAACGTGGTGAAAAGATTCGCTGTCCAACCTGCTTCTCTCTCTTTTTGACATATGTTTTTACACATTTCACACGCTTCTCTCTCCTACACATTGCACTCAAACCATCAGTCAATTTTGAATCTCACTGTGTATCTCATGGATGACCATCGATCGATCATTTCTTTTGGACTTTTGTAATGTTTGTGTAGTAGTATAAATTCTTCTGAAATTGCTGCAGTTTTTTTAAACGCGTATCAGAGGAAGATTAATACGAAGAAAAACGAATGGAATCCAAAAACGAGTAGCAACGATTTAACACGGTTGTTTGGATTAGGCGTACACCTGCAGTCATTATAGTTGCAGAGGCATGAAAAATAAATATGAAAATGAGTTTCTTCTGTTGAATTTAACGGTTGACCGAAGAAAGCGTGGTGGAAGTTTTCTGTACAGGTATAAATAAGGATGTTCGCATCAGTTGACTTGACAACTACAACAGATGTCTATTTTTCATGGGTTTGTGAACATTAAAGAACTTTTCTGTTATGAAAGGCGGGTTCTCACGACTTAATAAGTGCTGTAGTATTCATTCGCATATTCTGTGGATTGATAAGGAAACTTTGATTCTCGGCGCATAACTTGACCATCGTTTCAAGTTTTAAATCCATTATTAGCTAACCTGTTTGTAACCGGAAATGCCAGAGCACTGTGAAACCCTCGATTTATGAGGTAAAAATTGGAATACTCGAATAATGTTGATGTTGTACCTTTACACACTTTTGATCACCAAGGTTAAAAGATTTTCGTTCGATTTTCTCTGATGGATCTCCAGAGTTGATGTCAACGATATAGATTCTCTTTCTTTAAAATAGTGGCGGACACTCATTGGTGTTTTGCGACTTTTTCCAAAAACAATAATTCTTAGCCTGTTCTAATTGGGAGCTAAATGATACATACCATCAGCATAATTTTTTTTCACGTATCATTTTCTTAGGCATAGTCCAGGAATTATACTCTGCCACTTCATTTTTTACAAATCGCAATATGTATACCCACTAATTGTTTTCAGATTTTATTAGCGGTTGTTTGAAAAATATTCAGGAACTTTGACAACATTAAAAAAATTCAAATGTTTTTCGGGGTCGAAAATGACCATATTTCGCATTTTTTTTTAATATAAAAATATAAAATATATCTCGAAAACCATCAACATTAGAACAATGTTTGTAAGAACCTTTTTTGTCCACAATGACCCAATAAATATTAACTGCTCGGAGTGAAAAGGACAATTTTTGGAATGTTGAATATATTTGTTTTTAACGCAGTTTTGGGCCTGGCAACATGGAGACTCGTAAAAGGGGGTTTTTCTTTAATAAGATTATGTCACCAAAACGAATCAGAATATTTTTCCTAACATACGTTAAGATACTTCTTGGAATAGTTACAATTTAAACCTTCCATGAAAGCGTTTTTAACTAATTACAGGATCTTTCTAATGCATTTTCTCGCTTTGATGCCTATTTCAAAAAAAAAATTGCCTCAAGATTGAACCCTCTCACAGTGTGTTCCTTTATAGCGATCAGGGACAAAATTCGATATCTTAAAAACTACTGGTCCTATTTGAATTCTGTAAACGCAGGGCGATTACTTATTCAAGTAGCTTTCTAAAGTATGACAAAAATTATTTAAAATAATAAGAAGGGGTGGGGGAGCAGGCGGGATGGGATGCATTTCGCATAAATCGTTTCTTTTTTGTAAAAGTCAAAATATTAAGTTGATGATCTCGAATAAATTGGGATAAGGTAGGATGTTATTATAGCATTCTTAAGAGAGACAAAAAAATTAACGCTTTTATTTTTCAAGGTCTTTACCGAATGATTTAAAAGATAATGTAGCCAACTTGTGGCGGGCGCAATATGATTTATTAAATTTGTCTATCTATTTGAAAAAATAATAAGAATAATTCAAATAAAAAATAAATCTGTATAATTTGAAATTGATATTTAGGTTTTTATTTAAAAAAATATATTTAACAAAATAAAAATTATAGTACTTAGTAGGTAATGTATGAAATAATAATATAAACTATATTAAAAAAATAACACCAAATATACCCATTCTAATCGGAATAGGATTTCTTGCTCGGTGCTGTGTCATTCGTTATTGTACCTAAGTCAATACCTAAATCATCATTTTCTTGCTTTTTTAAATAGTTCTGAACTGCCTCGTTGCATTTCATATATTTTTTGAGCTCACCTTTCTTTTTGAGGATATAAAAGGATCAGAAGTAAGTAAAAGATCACGCATGAGATCCTTATTCGTATCTGTTCTTGAACATTTTCTGGTGTGAGATAATCGATGTTTCCTAACCTCTTTATGGCGAGCCTCAAGCGCGTCCTCCGACAGTTCTCCAATGGGCAAACAAAATGCATCAATTATCTCACACCCATGAACAAGGACCTTATGTACCTTGTTTGGCATGTTGGACCACTTATAAAGGTGGATATACCAATTCCTTGCTTCTTCCAGCAATGACGCAAACTTTTCCATATCAATAGCGCAACCACTAGCTAACACTCCTAAGATGATCGCAAATTTCTCGATTAATTCCCTGTCAACCCCTGTGATATCTGAACTTGTTTGTGGATTGTGGAAAAAAATTCTGGCCGTATTGCCATCATTTGAGGAGCCATACCCGGGTTTTGGTTTGTCAACTATTAGAGACAGCTTGGCTCTGAACTCTGCTTGGATTCGTTTTTTGTTTGCTTCGACTATAGCTTTGTTTTCAGGCCCACGAACCTGCCAAGATTTAATTGGCAGGCGGTATCCAATATGGAGTAAGCATTCAAAAAAACGAATCCAGCAGTGTAAAGTTGACAAACCAAACCGGTAATTGTCTACGTTAGGAGGACGGTTAATCCCTGCTAACGTGTTCATGTCCTTGGGTGTGGCTCCGCAAATGATGCTTTCATAGTTGAATTTGTCTCTGATAGAACGTTTCCAACACTGCCGTCCAACATTGTTAACATCATATCAACTTCGATTGTAGAAGAGTGCCCTTCTTTTGTTTTAATCTCAATAGGAATCAAATTTTCAATGTTTGTTATTATTTCCTTTTCCGTATTCCGCACTAAATCAGCATTTTCCTTTTTAAATAAAAACTTGATCGGCCTACAATATAAAGTAGATGAAGGGCTCTCATTTTTCCACAATACCTTATTCGTTTCCATATCAATCAATCTGAGTGGCGTCATTGCTACAAAAAACAGAAATTCGTCCGTGTTTTCTAAATCAGAAGATTTCTGCTTATATTGGCTATGCCCAGAGCTGCCATTAAATCCCCACTTGCATATCACTTTAATCCGGCAATCTCTCTCTTCAAAATTTATTATTTCAAGGATACTTTCAGCTGTTTTCTGTAGAAGTTCTTGCAAATCAACTTCTGCAGAAATTTCAGTAATAATAAATTGTGAAGGGAGGATAGCATTTTTTGTTTTCTGTAATTCTTTATAACTAGGAAGGCAGTTCTGGGCCTTACCATTAATAACAGACCTAAGTAGCAAATACTTTCTTACGGATATATCCAAATCTACCATAAGGGCTAAGGCTTCAGCTGTACTAAAACTAAAAATTTGTGGCGAGACCTCACTGTGATTGCTTCCAGAAACGACATTTACAGCAAATTGAAGTTCATTTGCAGATCTGTCTGTGGTTAGTTCGGCTACACGTCTTCGTTTTGTTTTCTTCGATGCCTCTTCAAATGGCACCCGTGGCCGTCCAACTGAGCGACAAGGAGGTTCTTGTTCCTCATCCGAAGATGTGTTTTCTTCAGAATCATTATTTATTCTATATATAATCTTGTCTAACCAATATACCTGATTTTGTAAAAGTCGATTCCGAGATTGTCCTACTTTCTGCCATTTATTTGCCATTTTCAACCCAAACAACTGGCTGAATTTCATAATATTACTTTTAAGATGTTTGGAAGGTTCATCTGTTATATCAATAAGAGATAATATCTTTTCATAAACCACCTGTTTTCTATTTCCTCTCGGTGCTTCTATCCACACATCAATCAAATCTCTATTTCTGACAATAGCACCATGTTCTAAAAAAAATTATATCTCCCTTAGACGTGGCATGACGTGATTTAAACTTTTTATCAAAACTTACTATGGACAGATAAACAATAAATAAAAAAATTTTTAGGGTGATGGTAGGTGATTTTTGTAAAACTCTAAACAAAGTCAAAAGTTTAAAAAAAATTAAAAAAATCGGTAATAGTCACTTTAACTTAAGAAATTATCTAATTATAATTATATTTTAAATAAATCTATACATCAATATAATGTACTTACCAGCCTCATTACCAGCCATATTGGAAAAGTTAAAATATTTAAATATTTCGACACAAAATTTATATCTTTCCCGAGCAATAAAACAGACATTTTTCGCCTTCTTGACAGGTCTCGACATGTCTAACTTTAAAGTTGCTAAAATAGGTAAATCGCAGCCGACTTGATTAAAGTACTATATAGTACTTACGTGTTGCAGTGACTATTTATCTATCCAATGGTATAATAAAAGCAACAGAATTATAATGTCAAAAATTATGTTTTTGAGTAATTTTGTCCATTGAGCGCCACACTGTGCCTCTGTCCCACTGTTCTGGGATGTCGCTTGTGCAGTTAACTGTAAACTGATCCAGGTTATGATGACCCATATACATTTTGATCGACTGCGTAGATAATGAGCAAGTCATCACCCTGCTATGTTGTAGATAATAAATTAACAGCATATTGTGCACACAAAGGGCCCATTATAGCCATCACGCGTATGAGGAGATGCCCTTTGATTATCACCTACACTGTTTAATGCGGAAGTAAATTCGGTTCATGGAACTAATAGGCAATTGTCATAACATATTAACTATGTATCATACTAGAATCATCTGCAGAAGATTGAATGTCCAGAGCAAATATGAAATTTGGAACACATGCGTTTTTCTAGACATCCTAATATTTGGCTTTTACAAAAAAACGAAAGGGTTCGAGAAGGGTGAAAAATACTCCGCCCTAAATTATAAATATTAAATATTATGATATATCAAATAATTAAATTATCCCAGAATTTTTCCGCAATTCTCTCAATGGCTCTGAATTTTTTTTATCTAAAAGATACGTTTTTATTGCATGTCTCATAAAAATAGGCCATCTCGTATAGTCTTATAGAAAGAAATGATTTTTGGAACTGGTTTCTAAAAAAACTTTCTTGTTACATCAAGTGTATTTTTTTTTGCGCCGTATTATTTTCTGCAAGAACGAAAATGGTGGTCATCTTGCCTTTTATGAAAGATTTGCACTGCCTGTATTAAATAAAATTGTAATAAGTAATAGGTATCATACTTGTTTATTTTCGCTAACTACACTTAAAGAATTATTAAGACACTTGGGAACCTCTTGATGCAACTCACTTTTTTTCTCTAAAACTATCCTGTTTAGTTGACAAGAAATGAAGTATCTACATAAAAAGATCTGATAAATAAAGAGTCGAAAAACTGCTATAATTGGGGTCTGGGTAGTCTTCGCCCTTCTCTAATCCTTCAGAGTGTGTCGTAAAAATCAAATATTTTTCACGTCTAGCAAAACATATGTTCGGAATTTCATTCAAATCGGGCTATCGGTTCCGAAAATATCTTGAAAAATGTGTTTAAAAAAGAAAATTTTGACGCCCTCTAATGGATGTACGAAGCACTTTTGCATAGTGGTAAATATCGTCCAATAGACTTGTTTTGAGTCTAAAAATACGTGTCATATCCATGAAAAATTGAGACACCCTGTATTGATGTAGAATTATTAGCTATTCCTTCGTAGGTGGCGTTCGAACTGTTGTGAAAACCGCGAATTATTTTTTGCTAGCTGCAGTCCTACTCAGAAGCTTGCACAGCCATACGGCTCCAGAGAGACGTTATCAATTTGTCTGTCGACTAAACGCCAGAAAGCCACTCGGGTTCATACGGGAATTTCATTCGGGAAGATGAATGCGGGACGTCTGATAGCTCGCTAATTTTAGGTCGTTTACTCCGGAAGCCGTTTTATTTCAAAGACTGACGTCCAGTTTTTGACGCTGCTTCTGATGGAGTATGCGAAATTGCATTTTGCACGCGTCAGCGAACTCTTGCAGCATTTTAAACCATAGGGGCAGCTGTTATGAAGACGAAAATGTATGGTGGCAGTGAGATTGAAATTCTTGGTAATTCATACCACTGCGTATGTCATTTACGTCGAGTCACCGTATCTGAAATTCTGCAATTACATTGTTGGGTATTGCTCTACTCAGTACTCTGACAGGAGGTGACTGCTGTCATCTATATTTGAGTAGCAAAACGGAAGACAGTAGCTTAACACGTATTCGTACGCCACTGTTACCACGGCGTGCCTTTTTATCGGTAAAGCCGATGCACGGTGTTATTACATCCGGCTGAACTTGGTTAGTCCCAGATGAATGAATTATGACCGAAGTACCTGTTTGTATTGACTTCGGGAGGATTTTTCGAAAGAGCAAACATTTTATATACTCGGATTTACACTTACCAGTAGCTAAACCTGTGCTTACAATCTAGAAGCATGTAGAGCAGAAAGCAGTATATATATATATATAGGTGAAAAATTAAAGCTTCCGCCTTTTGTTGGGTACTTCGACAAAATTTAAGCAAGGAGGACTCTTTATACTTTTTTTATTCTCTCTAGCTTTCAATGGTCTTTGCCATCATCATCAGGAGCTGCAATTACATTGATAACAGTAGCAACAATAGTGTAAAATGAATTTAAATTAACTTACAGTAGTATGTGAGGATGTTGCTAATTGTTGTTTACGTTAATTTATACAAAAAAAATTATAAAATTATACAAACTCTACACAGCTGTATGACAAGAACAAGTTAAAAACAGATTAAAAAATATTTAAAACGAAAGTTAAGCATTACATCGTGAAGCCACTTGACGATTGTACAAAATGGTGGGCATGGAATCACGAGTAAGATGAACCTCTCGACAGATGGCCGAAGGTTAGCAGTGTCCGTGTAGAATGATGGAACGAAAATTCTTTTGTAAGGCGTGTGCTACGTTGCCAAATCATTTCAGATGGTGTGATTTTCAAGATATGTTGGATGAGAACTTGTCAACCCTTGCTTGGCTTAACCAACACAGTCTACTCTATCAATTGTGTTCACCTTAGTTTTATACACTTAACGATGGATTTTGAAAAACGATCTGCATGCACTCGAGAAGCATCGGTAGCACTTCGAAGACACACACCGTAAATTAAAATAGCACGTCCGACTCCGACATTGCTGTATAAGTGTACCATTTTATTTTGTATTTTTGATTTATTTTGCGGAGGCTATCGTTATGATACCGGTCAATAAGTAAAAGAGATTTACGTATTAACTAATACCGAGTTAAAGGATTTTTTGACTGTACTATAGAATAGAAACGCCTTGGAGCAGGACTGCTGGTAGTGGCAGGCAGATTGATGGTATTGTCGTCGAAGAGGCTCATCGGTATTCGTCAATTCGCGTCAGGATGCCAACAATTACATATTCCTTTTTCATTCACTGACACGCCAGCGGCAAATGGAAATTATTCAAGCATCAGCCGGACAGACGCGACGAGAAAACCATATTGAGGAGCGGACAGTGGTGGGTGGAAGCAGCTAAAGAGCTTGAAACCTAGGTACACAAAACATTCTAAGCGCTAGGATTCTAAGGTTGTTTGGCTACTCGTCCGGGAGAAAATTCTAGTCATAGAAACGCTATCAAATAGAGAAAATTTTCATCAGAAAAAGTGTCATAAAGTATATCTGGCATGAATTTGTCTAGCTGCAACAGGAACATCATCTTTAGTTTTGAATGCGATAGTGACTACATCATTCGTTGACAGTTAGTTTTAGGGACGACTAAAAGAGCTCGAGTATGTCATTGTCGATTGTTAATTCCATGCCTGTGACATTTATCGCAGAAATAATATGATGATAATAAATTCAAATGGCGTTTTCCGGATGCTGACGACAGATAAACAGGTAGATAAAAATGAGACACACGATTTTCTGTCACGTAAGATCCAAGAAACATATCTCGATCGCGATTTTTTTTCACTGCCATACTACGCCTTTCAGCAGACCCATATTTGCTTGGATGCTATCCGTTGTCTGTTTCCAATGGCCATAGACTTATACCGCCCTTATGATTGCTAAAAAGCATGAAACAACGTTGGTTAGGTACAGAAGGCAAACATATCCTCTTCAGCCTTCCTCGGTAATAGGTATTGGAAGTGAAATGGCAAGAAGTACTTCACTAAACCTTAGTACCGAAAAGGAAGAGAGCAGCAAAAAGCGCACGCTACTGCTAGTAGATCTTCTTAATAAAATTGTCAATGTAGGGATGAGGAGGAGAGAGGTAAAACTTTTTGCAGAGTCTGCTTCTATCTAGGAGCCCCTTCCCACTTCAGTTGGTCCACTTCAAGATTTGTACCAAAATATGCCACATATAAACTTCTAAAACAATTTATTTTCTCAAAAACATTTTAGATACACTCTAGTCGTAAAAAATACATATTTCAAATTACTTAGACCTTTATTTTTTATTACGGCTGATATTCTTTGGGGCATAGTGTTAACCAAGTTTTGGCAAAAATTTGGTGTAAAACAATCTCATATTCCTTGAAGCTTTTGTCTCAGTTTGGTGATTCTACGAGCAGAATGTTGTCGTAGAACCTTTCTCATCTCGTGCCACAAAGTTTCAATAGGTTACAGATCTGGACTGCTAGAAACCCATTTCAAAAGTGGTACATTATTTTCTTCTATCCATGTTATAGCCTTTTTTGTGGTATGGCACGCTGCACCATCTTGCTGAAACACAAAATCTTGGCCGGATTTCAAACATTCTTCCATCACTGGTAAAAGCGATTCTTCTAAAATTGCCAAATATTTGTTTGTATCCACATTTCCATCAATAAAATGAAGTTTTCCTACTCCTTTTTATGACATACTGCCCCAGACCATAATGTATGCTGGAAATTTCAATTTTCTCTTCAGACAGTCAACATGAAATGCTTCATTTTTTTTGCGAATAACTCTACTGCGACTGTCACCAACACAAACTTCGAATGGGGCCTCATCACTCCATTGTATTGCACACCATTGTTGAGGTGTCCATTGTCTATGTTCTTTAGCCCATCCAAGCCGATTTTTCTTTTGCAGTGGAGTTAATAGTGGCTTTTCTTTGGCCTATAAACAAATTGTGCAACTCTAGGGTTTTTACTTCACTTTTTTTATAAGAAAACTTACCTTGCAAGTGCTAAATCCCAGTTTGTGGGCCTCTCTATGAGTTGTGGACCTCGAAATTCTTTTTCCAAC